TTTGATGCGTACAACACTTCCCTTGTCACCATCACATTAATAACAATAGTGACTCATACCACCGGTGGCCGATGCATGTAAAGTATCAGCTGAATAAGATGACTTCTTGGACTTAGTTAAATTTATACAATTGCCCTCCTATATCTTCTATAAATATGTGCATTGTCTACTACATGGAGGTACTTAATCTTTTGCAATATAACACAGTCGTACTTTTCTCCTCCACCTAAGTCTAATATTGACTTGACCATCTGATGAACTCGCGGATAACACAACTCTGATCCTCTTATGTACCGTTTGTATGTAGGACCAAATCCTCTGTCAATAATCAACCATTAGAGAAGATTGAGTAACCCTAAAACTCTTTATAATCCACATTAAATTCCTTGTTTGATGTCTAATATCAACATGAAATAGTAAAAAAACTACGTTATCAAATTTTAAACAAATATTTGATAAACAAACGAATCGAATATACATCTAGTTAAATTCTATTCGTTAGTGTTGATGTCCTGAGACTCAATAGCGAGATTAGCAGATAATCCAGAATTGGCGACAAGGCTTAGGGTTGATATATATGATGTGGGCTTCCTTATTCTCTCAAGCAATAGATCCCCTATCTAAGATGAGGAAGCTGCAAAATAGACATGTTAGAGGGTCGGAGTTGAGTTCTTTAGTGATTCCTTCGACGATTAAAGTCAGTGTAGAGCTTGAGTAGAGAATTAATGAACTAAATAAATTTAGAATATGAGATTAGTTGGTTAGGATTTACGTACCTATGTGCCCAAAGGGAGCCTAGGATCACACTCTATTAGTGGACGATGACCCCATATATATACCCGGTTGAGAATGATAGTAGCGTTACTCTGATCGAGTCTGGGCAGATAGCCAGACCGACATATAGTTTTACAAGTGTCGACTGTATATACGATGAGTTACCCTTGATTGAATATGACCATGATGAAGGAGGTATGGAGGGTGGTGAGTCATGGAGACTTGTGGTACTTACAATAATGAGAATAACAACTATTGGTGTGGAGTTCAAAGACGAGAGCCGCCTTTCGATCCGGCTACACGAGTGGGACAACAAGTACTACCTTTTTAGCCGGCCTTGAAAGTTGTCGACCCAGCTCTGAGTGAATGAGGGTGGTTGATTCGATTGATTAGGTTGAGTGGAAGCTGGTCTCGACCCGGCTTAGCTTGGGAAAGGTCAGGTTCCTAGATGACCTGAGTCGCCCCTAGCATGGGTGAGCTGGTTATGATTAATTAATGCTGACATGGGACACGTGTTGGCTTTGAGAGGAAGATCAACATTTAGGTTAATTAATGTCATAACAGTTAGTAAACTAGAGTACTAAAAATATTTGTTTAGTAATAAACGAACTATCGAATCGAATATGACCAAATAGTTATTCGAACAATTATCGAACCATTTGTTAATTATTTGGTTTATTTCCACCCATGCCCTCCAACTTTAACATTATTAGTATTGAATAATGATTTCATTCGTTCGAGTTAGTCGCAATTGTACAAGTTGTGTTATGGCTCTTGAACCATTAAAAAACTCCTCGATTAAATGAACTTAGATGAGAATTTTTTTTTTGAAAATTTTATCTAAATTTTCATAAATTTTTCTATATTAGGAACAAAGATTTTATAGAGAAAACATAAGATAAATTTTTGAACAAGAATTCTGAGCTCTGACCTTAGCCTGTGCTGCTATGCATGAGGAAAAGCAAAATAAGAATCTTGTTAGGAAAGATAAGAGAGTGCCGGAAAAAGGTTAGAGATTTAATGAAATAAAAAGTTGACATGAGTTTCGTGAAAACACCCCAAAACGTGGATTGCCCTATTTTTAAACTAAAATGTGGGTCGCTCTTTCTCACTAAGAACCTCATATCATGAATCTTACTCTAGGATATCTGCATTGATTTTAGAAAATGATCATCCCTTTTGGTGCAGTGTAAAAAAATTAACATCCTAGAATAAAATGCCTGTGCTGCTATGCATGAGGAAAAGCAAAATAAGAATCTTGTTAGGGAAGATAAGAGAGTGCCGGAAAAAGGTTAGAGATTTAATGAAATAAAAAGTTGACAGGAGTTTCGTGAAAACACCCCAAAACGTGGATTGCCCTATTTTTAAACTAAAATGTGGGTTGCTCTTTCTCACTAAGAACCTCATATCATGAATCTTACTCTAGGATATCTGCATTGATTTTAGAAAATGATCATCCCTTTTGGTGCAGTGTAAAAAAATTAACATCCTAGAATAAAATATAAGAGTATAACACAATATTATTAATAGTTAGAGTTATTGAGCTTTGATTTCAATTTGTGAACAGAATCATATTTGAAATAATTTGAAGGTTAATCTCATGAAGAGAATGATTCTGAAGGCATGTTGCTAGAACAACTGACGCAAAATATAAGGTATTAAAATATATACATATTTAATAAGCAAATAGCTCAAATATGACTGCTTATACTTGATCTGTTGATTATATAAATAAAGATTTTTTGTTATGACATTAATTAACCTAGTTAATTCTCTTATTGGAGTCGACATGTGCCCCATGTCAGCATTAATTAATCACGCTAGCTCACCCTCGCTAGGGTGACTTGCGTAGCCTGGATACTCGACCCCTCCTGAGCAAGGCCGAGTTGGGATCATCTCCTATTCGACCTCATCAAGTGAGTCGACCACCCTCATTCACTCAGAACTAGGTCGACATTTTACATGGCCGATTAGAGACGCGATACTTATCATCCCTCTCGCAGAGCCGAGTTGAGAGGCGATTCGACCTCAAACTCCACAGTGACAACTGTCTATCCTCATCATTGCGAGTGTCATGAGTCTCCGTGACTCATCACTCCCCATACCTCTTCAATCTCCACCACATTCAATCAGGGATGACTCATCGTATATGCAGTCGATATGTGTCTTACACCACGCCAGATCAGACATGATCATAGCCTAGATGACTCGATCCGCTCCTGTGCCCGACTCCATAGGCCGACAACTTACGTGGCCGACTCAAGAGGCGGTAGCTATCGGCCTACACACCAGATCGATCCTATGAGCACCCCCACTCGGCTTGCTATATATTAGCTGACAACTTGTGTAACCGACTAAAAAGGCGATGCTTGTCGGCCTTTAGCTGGACGACTAGAGGACAATGTATCCTCGAATTATCCGTCGACAACTAGTCACCATCATATTAAATGCTCTGACAAAGTATCATAGCACTAGACACCTGGATGACCATATTCACCGGCAGCCGACACTTGCCATCACAAGAGTAACTCATGCCACCCACAACCAACACCTATCGGTTGTTTGTCCAGCTAGCTACCTACGTAGACTAAGCCAAAATTATATCTTTACCCCTATCAGCTGAGTATGTATATGGGCTCATTGTTTACTAGCAACAAGGGGGACTATACAGGGGGAAGCCCCAGGGAGGCTACATGTATGCAACTTCTGCATACCTAGAACTACTTTCAGTTTATTGGTGTCTACTCCACTCAACCTCAAATTCTAACTTGATCGTCGGAGGAACCACCGGAGAATCCAACTCTGATTCTCTAACGAATGTAATTGTGCAGTTCTCTTATACAGACATGGGACCGATCTTTAAGAGAGATGAGGGAACCCACATCACAAGCTCCCCGCTGCTAACCCGAGATTAGCTGCTAATATTATCCCTATTTGATAGCTAACATCAATATTTTCTTTAATTACACACAAGTACTCACAAATAAAAAAAATAATGTAAATATAATATTTTTGATAATCCAGCTTGAAATCGAACCCAAAATCGTGGGAGCCATATTAGAACTTCCCAACCAGATCACACATAGTGGATATCTACTCCTCTATACTTAAAAGTAAGTTAATGTTCACTCTACAATAAAAAACTGTAGCATGAACAATAACCACATCTGGCCATCTACACTAGAAGCTACCATTCATACTACAATAATTTACTGTATCATAAATAGTAAGCCAAATCTGTTTCCCATACTTGAAGCTACTATTCATGCTACAGTTTTTTTACTGTATTATAAATAGTTAGGCAAATCAAATGTATTAAAACTTGAACTTTTCTTTTAAGTATAGAGGAGTAGATATGATTTCTAAATCAAATGTATTAAATTTTGGATTATTCTTTAAGTATAGAGGAGTAGATAATTTTTTTTAATTTTAAGCATACAATAATTAAATTAAATGTATTAAAATTTAGAGCGAGACAAGTTCAAAACGTAGTGCTTAAAAAAAAGGGACCGTGCTTGGCACGGGTGCACGCTTCGTGTAAATATAATTTGAAAGTTAACTATGACCTATTTACTATTTACTATTTACTACTAGCTATATGATGATTTTTTTTACCCATGAATTTTAAAGGCTTTTGTCTATATACCTCCAAAATATATATTACTTTCAGATTTACATCATATATTTGACAAGTTATTCCCACATGCGCTTATATTTCAGGTTTACATCCTATGTGTACACGTCTATATACTATTACTAAAAGTTGTTACCCTTTAATTCGCCACTTGGCAAAAATGCCACTTGGCAAAAATGACCCATACCATTTTAAACGACACTTGGCAAACATATCAATTGCTATCTTCTTGCAAGTGCCACTTGTCAAGTTTCTACAAAAGTTCTCCATATTAAATTTGAAATAAAAAATAAAAAATAAAAAGTTCTCATTGAGATTTGAACTAACTCTCCCTGTTTTTTCAATTTTCCAAACAAGATGCTTCGTAAACCGATTAAACGCTTCGTAAACTGTTTGAACTGTTTGTATTATTTTGCTACATTAATTTTTGTATATTAAACAAATCCGTGCATCGCACGGGCCTGAAACTAGTTACCTTATAAAGTCTGCTCCCTCTGTACATCCACCGCAAATCAGCATATTTGCTAATTTGCCCCTATGAAAATTTGGGTTTTCAGATGATAGCGGAATACAAATCCAATGAGCTTTGGGGGAAATCTGGAAATAGGATTCGCTGACGCGCAGGGAAAAAGCCTCATTTTGTGGCTGGCTCCTCGTCCGTCTTTGGCGATCCGAAGAGGAATCAGGGGCGAAGCAAATCGAAGGAAAGTAATCGGCGACGATGATTAGCGTCCTCGCTCAGGTGCGCTCGCCATTCCCGTTTGTTTCTTTTCCTATTTCCGTTTCCTTATTTTCTATCCCCTTCTAAAATCGCCTCTTAGGTTTTCGCCCCTAATTATTCCCATTGGTTTGGATGGGTGCTTTGTTTCATACGAGGAGAAACATTTGGTGTTTGAAAATTTTAATTCGTTTACAGGAGCGTATTCTAGGCGCAACATTGGGAAGCGTGCTGGTCGGAGGAATTGTTTTCAACCAGCGCAGGGGGATTCACAGCACTATCTCCGAACAAAAACCCGTTCACATCTCTCGATACCAGGTTTTTTTTTTCCCTTTCCAATTCATCCTTTGATATGCGATTTTATCTCCCGTTATTAGAATTTCTATGCAATCAAGATAACTACTTTGGAGAGGAGATATCTATGTTGGTTCTTACCTATGTGGGAAGTAATAAATTTTGACACTTTGTACAAAATTATTTCACTCTTCTCCTCTTGGCCAAACAACACCTAAAGTTGATTTATATTTAGGGTCAATGGAGAGCTAAAGAATTGTAGGTTTAGGAGTAATGAGTTAGGAATGCATTATGGATCAGAATATTGGGCAATGAGCAATTAAGAAACATGTGCAAAAAGTGAGCGTAGTATAAATGGGAATGCTAAATTGACGAGTTGATATACATCATATACTACTCTAAGATATAAGATAAGGAACGAATATATTCACATGATGCTAGAGGTTGCTCCTATTGAGGTTAAACATTTGAGGTGGTTTTGTCATATGCAGAGGAGGCCAGGGAAAAGTGATAAGATCATAGTTAATAGAGAAAGAAAGCCTAGAGATAGGCCTCAAGGTACAAATATTTCTGATATTTTTTTTTGGGTGTTTGATAATAATTAATAGAGGGGCCTTGGCCCTATTTGGATGGGGGTGAATGGAAGAGAGGGGAATAGAAGCAGAAGGGTTCACCCCGCTTGGAAGATTTTTTTAAAAGGAAGTAGAGGGGAAGGGAGATGGCCAAACTCACCTCACTTAACCTCCAGTCTATATGTGGTTCCTCTCCAAAATGGGTGTAATGGAGATGAATTTTTTTAAACCATCACGATATGAATCCAAGGGCTAAAAATGATTCCCCTCCATTCCCCTTATTAAACTCCCAAACATGATATTATATTTTCTTTCCCACTTTTTTTGCTTCCCCTCCCTTATTTTCTCGTCCCTTCTTTTCCCTTTCCCTCTATTATTAAACTTTCAACCATAGTAGGAGTTAACTGGAACTTTAAGCACAAATTTCTTCTTCTAAATAAGATATTGAAGGAATATAAATCAGTAATCTGTGCGACCACTTTTTTCAAATATTTATATTCACTTCACATGATGGATGAATATGCAGGATAAGTTCTAAGGCCCTTGTCAATATCCAGATTGCCTATGTCTGTAACGTGTTACACATTTCTCTTGAGGTCATGAATTGCGCAATTCAAAAGAGTTGCCTTTGCTCTAACCTGTCCATAAGAAAGTCAATGTGGAATCGTCATTTCTTAAGCTAACAGACTATGCACTCTCCCCTCTACCCATACTCCAAAACAATTAAATAATATATAAACCCAGCCTCAACCCTCTTCCCCCCCGCTACATCTGTGCGCATGAAGAAAAAAGAAATGGGGACATCTCTATTCCTTTACCTGACAGTTTCCATGACCACGTACCAAGGTTTTAAATGTCGGCTGACATGTTCGACATATCGGTTTGAGGGCTTGAGCGACATGACATGAGCGTTTTCAACTCGTATGTCGGTTTTCAAGGCCAAATCGGAAATATAGGGGTCATATTGGGCATATCGATCGATTTTTCAGTTTTGAAAAATCGACCGATATGGTCCTTTTGCAGATCTATTTTTTGTTATCGGGTTTGAGTTTAGTGATAAAAACCCAAATCTGTTTGACCCGTTCTCATGTTTAAGGGTTTCTTATGAACCCGATAGAAAAAAAGAGAAAAATTACGGCTGCAGCGGACTTAGAAACCCATCACTCCTTTCGTAAACGACGACGCCCTTCCCCCACCTCCATCTCGGCCGCCCGTCGTCTATCTACCGTTGCGCCCCGAAATCCAAACTCCAATCCAACCCGAGGGCGTCAGGGTATCTTATTGTCGGGATAAAGGGAAGAGGGTGGTCGGTGACTCATCTGAAGGCTCGGACGAAGAAGAAGAAGAGCCCCGGCACTGCCTCCCTACGACGTCCCGTCGCTGGCACTGCCTCCCTACGACGTCGGAATCCACCCATCACCGACATCGCCTCTATAATTTATAAAGTATGTTTATGTTGAATTTAGGAATGTTTAGATTATATTTAGGACATGATATTATACATATGCGCACCACCTGATATGGCAATTCGATATTTAGTCCATGTCCTCCGATATATCCCCGATTTTCGCTATCCGACATGGATTTCAGCTATCCAACATGAACCTGACATCCGACATTTAAAACCTTGCCACGTACTAACAGTGATTTTGTCTCAGTTAATAAATATTGTGAAAGGACATAGTAATTGTTAGTACCTACAAAAGGAAACACCAACATTAATTAGTTTCATATCATGACAGAAGTAGTCTATTTGAGAGGAAACAAATCTGTAAGTACAAAACAATTATTTCTAAGACCTTGCATTAATCCTGGTATAAATGTAGTAAGTAACTGTACCCCCTATTGGCCTTTTATCCCACACGGAGTGCAGTGAATTTTGAGGTTATGTTTCTTTTTCTTTATTTAGGATACATGAAAAAGCAAACTTATTACGTTAAATAAATGAGATGTGGCATATCTGGCTGTGTAAAAATTTTCTTTTAATAAAGGGTAATGTCATCTTTGATGTAGGCTGCAATTATGTTTCTCCAAAAGATGAGCTGACATGATGAAAACTAACTTACAATAGTGGGTCAGCTAGAATGGGCTATCTATCTAATTCACATTATCTGTCAAATGTATGGGAACATTCATCTGAACTACAGTAAGATACATTAGTGGAAAATGCCAATCACCAGAAATTTGTTATTGCTGGGGAAGAGTAATATAATATTGCAATGAAATTTTATTGAAGGCCCTGCAGGAATGTCGACATGTCATGGTAAACTTGGTTATACACAAGGCAAACAGTGAGTAACCAGTCCCAACAGATATGCCCCTTTCTGTTTAATCTAAAGGAAATCATCTTGCAGAGTATGCAACAACTTAAATCAAAAATCATTTGCCCATGAAAATCTTGAAATGACAAACCTTCGGCACAGGTCATTGAACACTGAAAATCTTACTAATATAAGTTTGTCTTTAGGAAGTTTGAGACTTTCAAGAAAGAAGATCCTGTATGATTAAAGTGAAGTGACCAATGTATGCCCTATGAAGCTGTAACTGCATGTACCATGCCAAATTAGAAATTATAAGTTAGGTTGCTACACCATATGGAAGAACTATCACGTTTTTTTGAGGCCTTGAGGAAACAGCTAGTGTAATTTGTATTCTGCTCTTAACACTTTGCTGGTGGAAAAGTCATCCTTTAGGCATTGATGTATCCCATTTCTTACTCTTTTGACATTATTCCTTGCAGAGAGTACCGTCTTCCTTTATGCTTTCCCTATAGGTAAACCAACACCAATTGACAGTTGCAAACAATCCATTCAATGGCTTCCATGTGCTTGGAATCCTACTAAATCATAGTTATTTGACCGCAGGAGAACTGAAAGATACAACTAAAGCATGTCAATGCTTGATACCAAGATAACAGTGTATGATTATCACTGACCAAGGTTACGGTGGATGTTTCAAATGGAAATGTATTTAAAATAAAAAGTAAAGAAAACGTCAGTCTAGCGGTTGCATCTAGCAAGAGTAAGCTAGATGTGAAGACAAGTACCGATTCATGTTTGAAGCTGTTGTGACACATAGACTTGAATTCAGCATTAGGTGACCAAGCTAGCATCATCCTTATACCATTACTTTTCTCCAGCATTTTGGATCCCAAGGACCATGTAGTTTGGCCCAGCCCAAGTGAGATGAAAATGAAAAATAAAATGGGCATGTTACTTCCCACACTTGATGTTCCATGTGGCTTTAACAATACCAGTTTTGTGACTTCTGTCTAAATATGATTGCTGAATATTTCATCTGGATTGCCTAGCGGTCGTCCCTTGTAACTCTGACCACTCTCTCCTCCCTCCACGCTTCATAATGTTGAAAGGAGGATTGCATAGCTAATTTTTACTTGTTAGGCATAGGGCAGTCATTGGTGTTGAAGGTCTATCTGTTGGTTGTATAACAAATTGTTTGAAGCATAGTTGGCTGCAGATTCTGTAGTGATGATAATTTAAAACCTATTAGTCAGCGCAATTGCCGGTTGTAGAATTCTACTTAGGATAACATTTTAAGTGTAAAATATGTTATCAGCATCTAAGTGCCAATTGAAACATACTGAAATAGAATCACTTACAGTCAGTAAACCATATGGCCGTTTGGAAAAACTGCAGCGAAGTTGAATTTTAGCCACTATGTCTATAACTCTATACGAAATAAAAGAATGATATATATGCTCAAATAGGAGCTAAAATTGAAATATACCAGTGGAATTTGTGTATACGAAAAGAAATTTACCCTTGTTAACTAGTGGAATTTGTGTATCTTTTGTCACTTCATTGTTTGATATAGAATAATATATTGCAGTAGGATATGCAGGTTCATGTCTATTTGGTCTTCTTATCTCTGTTCGGACTGAACTCTGAATAACTATAGCTGTAATTAGCTGTAACATGTCTAGCTTTTGTCAGTGATGTTTTACTTTTGTGTGTTTCTTTTCACTTTACTGGTTAACATGAGTCGTACCCATGCATTTCTGGTTTATTCCTTCTACTTTAAAATTATAAAAAAAAATCTATTTTAGTTGCTTTGTGACAATCTAAGCCATCTCTGAAACTCCGTGAAATGACAATACACTGGATTCCTTCTTCCCCTTATCTTATTGGGGAAGACGTATGGGTGCTTGTTTGGGTTCTTTGACATTGTTTGTTCTTTATATTGGAGAGCATTGTTTTATCAGCCCTAACATGTTTTAAAAATCTTGAGAAAATCTGAATTTCTTTGTGGATGTCCCTAAAGAATTTTGAACGTTCTAACTTAAAAGCTGCATCTCCTAAGGTTGGTAATTATGGACTTCTCTGCCATTTTTATCCACCTAGCTTCTGGCCATTGTTTTCTTCTAACCGTCATAATTCATATTATAGGGCACTAGATTATAATTATATTACATGTTAATAGCATAAAGTTAATGAGAACTTTTAAAATTTTGATGAAATTGTGATTTTGTAAAGGGCATGTGTTAAGAAAGATGGCGGGAACTCCAACCTTTGATACCTTTTCTCACTCCGCTATTTCCAGTGACATCTCTTTTAAAGTTATTGGGGGTTTAGTGTATTTACCCAAAAGATATTGGGGGTTCTCTGCAAAAGTTATTGAAGGTTCAGTGTGATTTTGAAGGTTATTGGGGTGTAGTGCAAAATGTTGAAAGTTGTTGGGTGTTTAGTGTAATTTACCCTTTTCTTTTCTTTTTCCCCTCTTAAAACGTCTCTCCTTTTAATGAAACAACCTTAAGAGTATATGAGATTCTTTTCATAATTCTATATGTAGGGCATTACCTAAACCAGCTTTCCAAGTTTGGAGTTATATATAACAGTTCATGTTATTTAGGCTGACAATATTTCTAATGTCTTGCAGCCAAAAGAAACTCTTTTTGGGAAAAACTTCAGTTCAAATTTTGCAAATGTATGGAACAAAACAGTTGATGGAACACTGGGGAATCTGGTTGCATATCTGAGTTCGCGCAGGTGGTAGGTAATTCGTTACTTTTACCAAAGTACCCGAGCAGAAGAGCCATCTATCAGTATATGCTCTAGACAAATTATTATCTTTCTTTTCTTGGTATGGTATTGTGACCACACTGAAAAATTCATCAAACAACATGTCAATTTGAATTATGAGTAACTTTTTCATAGTGGTTGATTCTGTGTTATGGCTCTTGAACCATTAAAAAACTCCTCGATTAAATGAACTTAGATGAGAATTTTTTTTTTGAAAATTTTATCTAAATTTTCATAAATTTTTCTATATTAGGAACAAAGATTTTATAGAGAAAACATAAGATAAATTTTTGAACAAGAATTCTGAGCTCTGACCTTAGCCTGTGCTGCTATGCATGAGGAAAAGCAAAATAAGAATCTTGTTAGGAAAGATAAGAGAGTGCCGGAAAAAGGTTAGAGATTTAATGAAATAAAAAGTTGACATGAGTTTCGTGAAAACACCCCAAAACGTGGATTGCCCTATTTTTAAACTAAAATGTGGGTCGCTCTTTCTCACTAAGAACCTCATATCATGAATCTTACTCTAGGATATCTGCATTGATTTTAGAAAATGATCATCCCTTTTGGTGCAGTGTAAAAAAATTAACATCCTAGAATAAAATATAAGAGTATAACACAATATTATTAATAGTTAGAGTTATTGAGCTTTGATTTCAATTTGTGAACAGAATCATATTTGAAATAATTTGAAGGTTAATCTCATGAAGAGAATGATTCTGAAGGCATGTTGCTAGAACAACTGACGCAAAATATAAGGTATTAAAATATATACATATTTAATAAGCAAATAGCTCAAATATGACTGCTTATACTTGATCTGTTGATTATATAAATAAAGATTTTTTGTTATGACATTAATTAACCTAGTTAATTCTCTTATTGGAGTCGACATGTGCCCCATGTCAGCATTAATTAATCACGCTAGCTCACCCTCGCTAGGGTGACTTGCGTAGCCTGGATACTCGACCCCTCCTGAGCAAGGCCGAGTTGGGATCATCTCCTATTCGACCTCATCAAGTGAGTCGACCACCCTCATTCACTCAGAACTAGGTCGACATTTTACATGGCCGATTAGAGACGCGATACTTATCATCCCTCTCGCAGAGCCGAGTTGAGAGGCGATTCGACCTCAAACTCCACAGTGACAACTGTCTATCCTCATCATTGCGAGTGTCATGAGTCTCCGTGACTCATCACTCCCCATACCTCTTCAATCTCCACCACATTCAATCAGGGATGACTCATCGTATATGCAGTCGATATGTGTCTTACACCACGCCAGATCAGACATGATCATAGCCTAGATGACTCGATCCGCTCCTGTGCCCGACTCCATAGGCCGACAACTTACGTGGCCGACTCAAGAGGCGGTAGCTATCGGCCTACACACCAGATCGATCCTATGAGCACCCCCACTCGGCTTGCTATATATTAGCTGACAACTTGTGTAACCGACTAAAAAGGCGATGCTTGTCGGCCTTTAGCTGGACGACTAGAGGACAATGTATCCTCGAATTATCCGTCGACAACTAGTCACCATCATATTAAATGCTCTGACAAAGTATCATAGCACTAGACACCTGGATGACCATATTCACCGGCAGCCGACACTTGCCATCACAAGAGTAACTCATGCCACCCACAACCAACACCTATCGGTTGTTTGTCCAGCTAGCTACCTACGTAGACTAAGCCAAAATTATATCTTTACCCCTATCAGCTGAGTATGTATATGGGCTCATTGTTTACTAGCAACAAGGGGGACTATACAGGGGGAAGCCCCAGGGAGGCTACATGTATGCAACTTCTGCATACCTAGAACTACTTTCAGTTTATTGGTGTCTACTCCACTCAACCTCAAATTCTAACTTGATCGTCGGAGGAACCACCGGAGAATCCAACTCTGATTCTCTAACGAATGTAATTGTGCAGTTCTCTTATACAGACATGGGACCGATCTTTAAGAGAGATGAGGGAACCCACATCACAAGCTCCCCGCTGCTAACCCGAGATTAGCTGCTAATATTATCCCTATTTGATAGCTAACATCAATATTTTCTTTAATTACACACAAGTACTCACAAATAAAAAAAATAATGTAAATATAATATTTTTGATAATCCAGCTTGAAATCGAACCCAAAATCGTGGGAGCCATATTAGAACTTCCCAACCAGATCACACATAGTGGATATCTACTCCTCTATACTTAAAAGTAAGTTAATGTTCACTCTACAATAAAAAACTGTAGCATGAACAATAACCACATCTGGCCATCTACACTAGAAGCTACCATTCATACTACAATAATTTACTGTATCATAAATAGTAAGCCAAATCTGTTTCCCATACTTGAAGCTACTATTCATGCTACAGTTTTTTTACTGTATTATAAATAGTTAGGCAAATCAAATGTATTAAAACTTGAACTTTTCTTTTAAGTATAGAGGAGTAGATATGATTTCTAAATCAAATGTATTAAATTTTGGATTATTCTTTAAGTATAGAGGAGTAGATAATTTTTTTTAATTTTAAGCATACAATAATTAAATTAAATGTATTAAAATTTAGAGCGAGACAAGTTCAAAACGTAGTGCTTAAAAAAAAGGGACCGTGCTTGGCACGGGTGCACGCTTCGTGTAAATATAATTTGAAAGTTAACTATGACCTATTTACTATTTACTATTTACTACTAGCTATATGATGATTTTTTTTACCCATGAATTTTAAAGGCTTTTGTCTATATACCTCCAAAATATATATTACTTTCAGATTTACATCATATATTTGACAAGTTATTCCCACATGCGCTTATATTTCAGGTTTACATCCTATGTGTACACGTCTATATACTATTACTAAAAGTTGTTACCCTTTAATTCGCCACTTGGCAAAAATGCCACTTGGCAAAAATGACCCATACCATTTTAAACGACACTTGGCAAACATATCAATTGCTATCTTCTTGCAAGTGCCACTTGTCAAGTTTCTACAAAAGTTCTCCATATTAAATTTGAAATAAAAAATAAAAAATAAAAAGTTCTCATTGAGATTTGAACTAACTCTCCCTGTTTTTTCAATTTTCCAAACAAGATGCTTCGTAAACCGATTAAACGCTTCGTAAACTGTTTGAACTGTTTGTATTATTTTGCTACATTAATTTTTGTATATTAAACAAATCCGTGCATCGCACGGGCCTGAAACTAGTTACCTTATAAAGTCTGCTCCCTCTGTACATCCACCGCAAATCAGCATATTTGCTAATTTGCCCCTATGAAAATTTGGGTTTTCAGATGATAGCGGAATACAAATCCAATGAGCTTTGGGGGAAATCTGGAAATAGGATTCGCTGACGCGCAGGGAAAAAGCCTCATTTTGTGGCTGGCTCCTCGTCCGTCTTTGGCGATCCGAAGAGGAATCAGGGGCGAAGCAAATCGAAGGAAAGTAATCGGCGACGATGATTAGCGTCCTCGCTCAGGTGCGCTCGCCATTCCCGTTTGTTTCTTTTCCTATTTCCGTTTCCTTATTTTCTATCCCCTTCTAAAATCGCCTCTTAGGTTTTCGCCCCTAATTATTCCCATTGGTTTGGATGGGTGCTTTGTTTCATACGAGGAGAAACATTTGGTGTTTGAAAATTTTAATTCGTTTACAGGAGCGTATTCTAGGCGCAACATTGGGAAGCGTGCTGGTCGGAGGAATTGTTTTCAACCAGCGCAGGGGGATTCACAGCACTATCTCCGAACAAAAACCCGTTCACATCTCTCGATACCAGGTTTTTTTTTTCCCTTTCCAATTCATCCTTTGATATGCGATTTTATCTCCCGTTATTAGAATTTCTATGCAATCAAGATAACTACTTTGGAGAGGAGATATCTATGTTGGTTCTTACCTATGTGGGAAGTAATAAATTTTGACACTTTGTACAAAATTATTTCACTCTTCTCCTCTTGGCCAAACAACACCTAAAGTTGATTTATATTTAGGGTCAATGGAGAGCTAAAGAATTGTAGGTTTAGGAGTAATGAGTTAGGAATGCATTATGGATCAGAATATTGGGCAATGAGCAATTAAGAAACATGTGCAAAAAGTGAGCGTAGTATAAATGGGAATGCTAAATTGACGAGTTGATATACATCATATACTACTCTAAGATATAAGATAAGGAACGAATATATTCACATGATGCTAGAGGTTGCTCCTATTGAGGTTAAACATTTGAGGTGGTTTTGTCATATGCAGAGGAGGCCAGGGAAAAGTGATAAGATCATAGTTAATAGAGAAAGAAAGCCTAGAGATAGGCCTCAAGGTACAAATATTTCTGATATTTTTTTTTGGGTGTTTGATAATAATTAATAGAGGGGCCTTGGCCCTATTTGGATGGGGGTGAATGGAAGAGAGGGGAATAGAAGCAGAAGGGTTCACCCCGCTTGGAAGATTTTTTTAAAAGGAAGTAGAGGGGAAGGGAGATGGCCAAACTCACCTCACTTAACCTCCAGTCTATATGTGGTTCCTCTCCAAAATGGGTGTAATGGAGATGAATTTTTTTAAACCATCACGATATGAATCCAAGGGCTAAAAATGATTCCCCTCCATTCCCCTTATTAAACTCCCAAACATGATATTATATTTTCTTTCCCACTTTTTTTGCTTCCCCTCCCTTATTTTCTCGTCCCTTCTTTTCCCTTTCCCTCTATTATTAAACTTTCAACCATAGTAGGAGTTAACTGGAACTTTAAGCACAAATTTCTTCTTCTAAATAAGATATTGAAGGAATATAAATCAGTAATCTGTGCGACCACTTTTTTCAAATATTTATATTCACTTCACATGATGGATGAATATGCAGGATAAGTTCTAAGGCCCTTGTCAATATCCAGATTGCCTATGTCTGTAACGTGTTACACATTTCTCTTGAGGTCATGAATTGCGCAATTCAAAAGAGTTGCCTTTGCTCTAACCTGTCCATAAGAAAGTCAATGTGGAATCGTCATTTCTTAAGCTAACAGACTATGCACTCTCCCCTCTACCCATACTCCAAAACAATTAAATAATATATAAACCCAGCCTCAACCCTCTTCCCCCCCGCTACATCTGTGCGCATGAAGAAAAAAGAAATGGGGACATCTCTATTCC